CTCCTGCTTGAGCAGGAGGTTGGACGAGAATACCTCCAAGGGTTAGGGTTTCAACTCTGTTAGTCTATGTTCTATGTTCTCCAGAATTGTTCTCTATCCAGTTGGCTTATGGGGATGTAGAAAGAAAGTGGGCTTTTACTACTGAGAAAATGCCAGGTTGTGTGCCTGGTTATAATATCACTTCATTTATCCATTTTCATTCCCTGAAGCATCTATGGACATTGTCAATCATCCAGGTCATGGTTGTCCCAAAGGTCCTTTTCGAAAAAGCAACTGGACTTTCTTGTGGTGTCCCCCCCCCCCCCTTGAAACATTTTGCTTTTCATCCAAGATGCTTTTTCAATTCAGAATGGAAGAAGCTTCTTGGATGAGAAGCGAAACATTTTCAAAGGGAAAAAACACAAAAACCAAGGAAGTCCAGATGCCTTTTTGGAAAAGCACCTTTGGGACACTCCTTGAAGCCCCTTTCTTCTCCACTTTTTCTCCTTTTGTAACAGCCACTGCGTTGGCTGTTCCTGCTCTGAAATTAACCGTGCAGAGAAATCCCACCTGTATACGGAAAGCTTGTTTTTCTGTTTGTGCTACATAATACGGATGAATGATGTAGGCGTGTTACAAATGGTTTTGTGTACTTTGAACTCTGTGGTGGGGGCATTAATCCTGGGCTGTGCCTGCAGTTTTAACCTGTGGATCAGGGATGAAATCCAGCAGGTTCTGGAGAACCGGTAGCTGAAATTTTGAATGGTTCGGAGAACCGGCAAATACCACCTCTGGATGGTCCCAGAATGAGGTGGAAATGGAGATTTTGCAGTATCTTTTCCTTGCCACGTCCACCAAGCCACACCATGCCCACCAAGCCATGCCCACAGAACCAGTAGTAAAAAAAAAGTTGAATTTCACCACTGCTGTGGATGGTAGATTTTCAATCAGAACACAGCTGGAAGGGACCTTGGAGGTCTTCTAGTCCAACCCCCTGCTTAAGCAAGAGACCCTGTACCATTTCAGACAAATGACTGTCCAGGCTCTTTTAAAAACCTCAAGTGATGAAGCACCCACAACTTCTGAAGGCAAAGCCATTCCACTGGTTAATTGTTCTCACTTGTTAGGAAGTTTCTCCTTAGTTCTAGGTTGCTTCTCTCCTTGATTAGTTTCCATCCATTATTTCTTGTCTTGCCTTCTAGGCTTTGCAAAATAGGCCGACCCCCCTCTTTGTAGGAGCCTCTCAAATATTGAAATACTTGTAAGTTGTGAGATGACCATCAATCCTGTGCCTGGAAAGCAAGCAGTATGCCAGGTTCTAATTTAGCCTTTTTTCTTTTTCTCCGAGTTTCTCAGTTTACAAGGAAATTGCTCCTGCAAACTTCCTACTTGCTGGCGTAGCTTAGAAAGATTTACCACCTCCTGCATTCTTTTTTTTTCCTGAGAACTAAGTCCAAGTTCAGAGCCCTCTAACAGCTCCAGTTGACAGTTACAACTGATAAAAGGGGTTTGGGTGTGTTCAGGTTTTATGATAATGCACTTCGTAAACTGTGGAAGTGACCTGCGAGCATAAGATTTATGTGAATGAAGTTGGGCCACATAAATAACATTTTTTCGAATCACACTGAACAGCGCCCTTCGTTCTTCAGAGCCGACATTTTATTCCCTGCCTCTAGTTTCTATGAATACCCTTCCATCATTTCAACGAACATAGTTACAAATTTTATAGGTATGTTTTAAAAATATCCCACTTAGGCTGCTAAATTAAATACTCATATATTTAGCTATCTGTGACAGTATGTTCCAAACGGACTGTGTAAAGCCATGCAATTAAATCTATATTGGGCAGTTACATAAATCGGTGGTCAAAATTTCCAAGGTGTTAAGTATCTCATGCGCCAATTGAAGCCACGGATAATTTCAGGTGTTGATCACCTTGGGACCCGTTTGGGCTGGAGAAATGTGCTAGCAGCCTGATACAGTTGGGGCCTAATTTTTGCAAATGAGCCTAATGCTTGATAAATTAGTCGTGCCTGTCAACAGTTTCCAGAAACACTGGCTTTAAATGCAAAGGCTCTCTTGCACATGGAGAAAAGAATAATTTGAAAAGCTTGTCTAAGCTTTTAGACAAAAAAAAGGCTTTGGGGTGGGGCAACTAGGACCCCTTTACAGCTTGTGGACTCCCCCAACTCCCAGAATTCTGGGAGTTGAAGTCCACGGGTCATAAAGGGGCCATAGTTGTTTTCGCCTGTCTTTGAGGAATAAGAAGAAATTGTGATTTTTTTTCCCTGTGGGGGCTAGGATTGCAATGTGCCCCCACGTGTTCCTGGCTTGGTTCGATGGGAAAAGACTATGAATCATGGCAGAATCATGGCATGACTGTGAATCCAGTTGCCTTTTGAAAAAGCCCCTTTGAGATAATCATGGCCTGGATGACCTGAGAACCTCCCTACACCGGGGGTGTCAAACTCAAGGCCTATGGGCCAGATCCGGCCAGCGGGGTGCTTAGATTTGGCCCACGGGGCTGCTCTGGAAACTGCGAAGGACTGGCCCACGGTGCCTCTGTTAGTGAAAATGGAGCTCGGGAGGGCTGCATGCGGCCTTCCCGAGCTCTGTTTTCACTGGCAGAGAGTTGCAGGAGGCCGTCACAGCTGGACACGGAGATCAGGAGCCTGTTTTCGCTGGCAGAGCGCTCGGGCCCCCACAGGCACCCCTGACACTTGTGACGTCAAGCTGGCCATGCCCACCCTGGCCCCCCGAAGTCAAATACAACCCTGATGTGGGCCCCAATGAAATTGAGTGTGACACCCTTGCCCTAGACAATCATGGCAGAAGGACCTGTCTTTTATCCTGGGCTTTTGAGGAGGCATGGTAGTGTTCCGTGCTGGTTTCCTCCAGGTATTGAACAGGTTGAGGTTGCACGAAGATCCTGAAGATGGGATGTGATTAGATAGAACTTCATCTGTAATTCCTGATCCCCTCTTCCACCCATGGTTCCTTTGCTTCCTTGATCAGATGCAAAGAGGGGTGCAGCTGGCAGAAGATGGCAGACCCATAAGTCCCCATCCTCATCTCACAGTTTATGGGAAATCCCACAAGAACCAATGAGATGAACTGACGTTATAACTGGTTGAAGCCCTGTTGCTTTGTATGGACCTGATGTTTCCTCTGTTTTAACTTGTTTTAACTTGGGGACTTAGTCACAACCAGTTTTAGTGAGGTTGTGACCTGTTCTGTTTACATTCTCTCCTTTCCTGGATGTCTTTTCTTGTTAATATTACTTGAGATTCTGTGTCTGTTCACCCTTTGAGTCCTGCCTCCTTAGAGATCTTTCAATCTTAGTTGAATTTTCCACATTTGGTTGATGTTTGTAGCATTGAAGAAAATCTGGGATGGAAAAGATAGACTATCCTTTGTGTCTCCATATAACATTCAATGTGGAGAGTAAAGCTTTGGTTGGTTAGACTTTGAGGCATTTTCTAAAATGGCTGCTACTGCATGTGTTGTACCAAAGGGAATCAGGAGTCTGCATTTGCTGGGAGAACATGTAGTTCAGTTTCTGCTGAGTCCATAAGTGTGATTTCTTTCTGATTTGCCCATTAACCCATGTTTTATTGATTTTTATGATAAATGGCCCACAGTGTTTGGCCATTGGTTGGAGACAAATTTCTATAGGACTTGTTGAAGAATCTAAAAGCTACCAAATAAAAGACTGATGCCCCAACAGTACCCCAAATGGCCAGTTGAATTCACACAACACGTTGTACGTACAGAGGAGAATCTGAGGATCCATCTCAGTATTTCTGGCCTTCTAAGAGACGTTTGCTGGTGTCTGCATTTACTCATGAATCTGTTACCTGAACTAATGTGTCCATAATACACACAGTAGCTAGAGCTCTGAAAGTGAGCAGAAATGCTGAAAAAAGTTCTTCAGGGTCCTTAAATGGTCCAGGTCTCCAAGTCTCCATTAGCCTGGTTTCTCATACTGAATGTCAGAGATTTCAGGCTGTGTAGAAAGTCCATGTGGGGTAGCTCCTCATTGCAATTAATATGGCGGCCTGGAAGTTGGTGGTACTTTCTCAAAAAGTGTAGATAGAAACTCTGCTACTGTATCTCCTGTTCTGGGGAAACACCATCAGAAGGGGTTTGGGGCAGCCCTACGTGATACATACAATGAGACGGGTATGCAGAATGTGCTCAACTACAATGCAGTTTGTTTTAACACAATATGGCTCCTAAGTTTGTAAATCTTGGTTATTGGCTTCATGTGTTATGTGAATCTAATCAATTGTGTCTTAGTCCACCAACCATAGTTTAGTGTAATAGATGAACTGAGTTTTATACAATCCCAGTTGCAGATTTCTGGCTGCAAGAAAGATTGTATATGGCACAGCATTCAAAAATATAATAATAATAATAATAATAATAATAATAATAATAATAATAATAATAATAATAATAATATAATTTTTGAATGCTGTGCCATTTACAATCTTTCTTGCAGCCAGAAGAAAATGATATAAGGGAGTAATAGCATAGTACTTGTGTCAGGAGCACCAAAGTGCTTCCAGATTGAAAAGATTACCCAGTGCAAGGGTGGGTTCTACTTACTTTTACTACCGGTTCGCAACGGGATCGCCGTTGCGATCGTCAGCATGCGCAGATCACTGATGACGACATCTGGGGCGGTGGGCAGAGCCTCCTGCCGGTTTTACTACCAGTTCTTGCGAACCAGTCTGAACTGGGGGCAACCCACCACTGACCCAGTGATATCACCATTGCCCAGGGGACTTTTTGTCCCCACAAGGAGCTGGAGCAAAGGAAGGGAGCTCAACCTCGGGTCTCGAACGCGGGCTTACTAACATCCAACCCAGCATCCTAACTATGCGAGCCACTGTGCTCCTAGGGAGCAATGATTAACCCAAAGAAATTCTCCTATGAAAGTGTGAATTGATTTTGAATTTTTGCCTGTCAAACCAAGGAATATTGACTGACTTTTTCTGCTTTTTGGATGTTTTCAGGAGAGAAGCCATACAAATGCACTTGGGAAGGATGTGACTGGAGATTTGCTCGCTCGGACGAGTTGACCCGCCACTACCGGAAGCACACGGGCGCCAAGCCCTTCCAGTGCGCTGTCTGCAGCCGCAGCTTCTCTCGCTCCGATCACCTGGCCCTGCACATGAAGCGCCACCAAAACTGAGCTGCATCGTCACGAGGCAGTGGGCACCTATGCAACATGTGGGCGACCCAAGTACCTACCCCCTTCCATTAGAAATAGCTAAGGGTTTGCCTGCGTATGAACTCTTCCTTTTTAGAAGCAGAAAAAAAATAATAATAATGAGGCTAGAAGAAACTGGAAATGTATATTTTGTATATTTATGAGGAAACAGGGAAGACACTGTCCAGAGAGACACGGATTGTTTTACTGCGTTAATGCCCTGTGATTTACTCTTTGTATCTTGGACTTAGTCCTACAGGTTTCATCTCAGGGCTGCCTGTCGTGACGTTTTGCAGATGGGGGTTGGTTGGGAGGTTCTGGGTAGGCAAAAAGGGGATCTCCGATTTGATCGTGTGACCCTAGGTCTCTCCGTGGCGGAGCAGCACCATGGGTCTCCAAGACACAGTTCTCAGCAGATCCATACATCAGTTTCAATCATAAATGTTGCCAGAATAAAATCGAATTAAAAAAATAAATAAGCTGCAGTGCTTCACTGCTTCTTTCTCTCTCCTTGTCCCTCCTGCTCTAGGAGAGTAGAAACAAAGAGAAAAGAAAGACCATTTGATCCCCACAGTTGTGGTTTGGTGTGGCCACAGAAACCAGGATTGTCAGCCAGCTTTAAAACACTTTCAGTGATTAGATTTCAGATCCTGGTTTCTTCGGCCATAAGAAGCTCTAAATTCTGGTTCAAGGAGACTCCATTCCCACTCTTCGCAAAAGGAGGGGAGAAGGAAGAGGAGATGGTCTCACTGGCCCACTGGCTCTCCACCTTCTGATCCTGGAAACCATGGATGACATGGGAGTATGGCCATCTGACCAATTGGCTCTTTTTGTCCATGAACCTCCAAAGGACAACGGAAAATTTCATCCCTTTGGACAAAGAGATTCTGATTCCCTGGGAATTTTGTGCACAGTAGTTTTGCACAAATTGTAATTATAATCTGGCGGTTAATTGATGTAAGGCAGATAAAAAAATATATTGCATAAGTATCAGAGGTGGGATTCACTTACCTTCCCTACTGGTTCGCAAATGTGAGCGCACGTGCTACCTCTGCACATACACACAGCCTTCTGTGCATGTGCAGTAGTCATGCATTACATCCAGGCAGGTGGGCGGAGCCTCCCACAGTGGCCGCTACTGGTTTGCGCGATCCAGAGAGAACCGGCTGAATCCCACCACTGATAAATATGCTCCACTCATGTTTCCAAAATACAACATGAAGTATTATGTCTGAAAAGCTGCGTTATCTGTAACCAAAACACTTAATCAGACGATATTTTTCTAAAAAAAAAATAAAATAATTTAATATGAACTGACAGCCAAATGAATCCCAGAGAACAACCCACAATTTATTTTCTGTCAAAACTGTACTGGATGTTTTTTTAAATACTTGTTATATTTTATATTTTTTTTTTCTGTGGAGATTAAATATATAGAGATGAAATTCATAAATAGCCATAGAACAAAATGTTCCATATGTTGCATGTCTACCGTGACAAAGATTTTGTAAATATGCAAATCAGCTCTTAATGTTTTATCACAAAAGGAATTTTCTACAAATCAGTTAGGATAAGTGCCAAGCATCTGGACTAGGGAGAGCTCAGTCTGGCATGTCTATAATATTCAGCCATAAGCATTCATAAAGATCTGATCCGCCGAGTGTTTAAAGTTTAGAAATCCATATTTTCCCCCGTTGTGTCAAAGGACAACCATTTTCCACATCGCGAGCTATTCAGCAACTGTCAGAAGCTTTAAATAACAAGTGGCTCTAAGACTAATGTTAAACCTTTCACTATAAGCTAAACTTAGTCCTGCTTTAAAAAGAAGGATTTAGAACATGATTTTAGAATACCAGAATGCTAAGCTGGTGAAACACTAGTGTAATACCTTGTGAATTTTGCTCACCCTGATTCAGTGTGTGCCAGAGACCTTTAAGATATTTTGGATTGCACTGAGGTCGGGAAAATAGAAAACAAAGCCAATCATCCTGAACTGTGCCATCTAACAGGGATGAGACTTTTGCTGTGTCTTGTTAACAAAAGGAAGTGTACCCCCAAATGTACAGTTAGACAAATGTTGAAATTGTCTGGGCGTTCGTCTCTGTAAGGTACATAGCTGGATCTGGGAGACTCAGCTTTTCACAAGATAAAAAGTACTGTAATTTTTAGAGGAAGAAGGTGTAATTAAAATGAAAACATCACGGCTGTGCAAATGTGTTGTAACACCAATGGAAAACCTGACACGGCAAAATGTCTTTTAGCTAAAGATGGGCCAAGGGATCTAATTCCAGGGTGATCAGATCTAGCCTGCAGAAATCCAGGTGACCACTAGGTGGCGGAGAACCCAGACTCTTGGTTGCCCTCTAGAGCAGGGGTGTCAAACTCAAGGCCCAGGCTCCAGATCCGGCCTGCAAGGTGCTTAGATCTGACCTGCGGAGCGTCCCTGGAAACAGCGAAGGACTGGCCCACAGTGCCTCTGCCAGGGAAAATGGAGCTCGGGAGGGCCACACGCGGCCCTCCCAAACTCCGTTTTCACTGGCAGAGAGCTTGGGCCACCACAGGTGCCCCCAACACAAGTGATGTCGAGCTGGCCATGCCCACTCTAGCCAGCCCCCCACTGCTCCCCGAGGTCAAACACAACCCTGATGCGGCCCTCAATGAAATTGAGTTTGACACACCTGCTCTAGAGGTTGTCAGCTTTGCTCAGGTTATTACTTGGGAGCCCTGGACCTACTTGGGAGCCCTGGACAGCTCCACCATTATTCTTGCTTGATGTATCTTCATTTCATTCTGTGGAGATCCTCTTGTCCAGATACCCCCTTATTCTTCCCCTAAAGCCTATGAAAGCTGGGGAAAATGCCTGCAGGGACACCCAACTGTGGACCAGGAAGGGGCACCAAGATGGTGGGACAAGCCACATTTAGTACAAAAGAGTGCCAGCAGCGCTGGCACATCTGGAATGGAAGTTCTGTACAGTTTGACTACTTATCTTCAAGGGTAATGAAATTACCTGTTCTCTTGCTTCAAAACGATCCGTTGATTTTAAAATATAAGTGAAATGGTATCCTTTCGTGCTCATTTAAATATAGCATTAGATTCACAGGCTATTGCTAACTTTTTCAGAGGCAGAAAAGGAAACAGCTGCCAGCAAAGAGCTGACGGGAGATTTAATCTCAATCCTTGATCATAGATGCAAGTTACCAATTAGGTGAGAGAATCAATCAGTGTATTTATTGAGAAATAAATCTGTTCATTTCTTCATGGAGCAAGGAGTGAACAGGTTTGGCTCATCCAGCACTTCCTGGTCCTTTGGACTTCAGAGGGGCAGAATCCAATATGTGCTTCCTGTCCTACCTGTGATTACTCAGAACCTAAGTCCCATGGAGTTCCACAGGCCTATTTCCCACCAAATATACTTTTATCTGAACCAATAAGAGCAAACAGAATTATTCCGTAGCCTGGATTTACAAAAGCAAATCTTGGAATGGATTCTTATTTAAGTTCCTTATATTGACTATGTTCATCTATTGCATAAGGTTTAGGATTTGTTCTCATTGTGGTTTGTTGAACAAGCTAGGAGGAAGCCTCAATCCATCCTGTGGTGCAGCAAAGTAACATTGACTTAATGGGACATTGCCTAGTTTCTTTTCTATGTTAATATTCAGAAGTGAAACACTAAAACAGTCCAGGAATAAGCTATCCTGACATAGCAAGCTAGGATTTGTGAGCCAGCCACCAACCATGTCAAGCAGTATTTTCTTTAATTAGTTTTGGAGTTTTGTTGTTATATTAAGCCGACAACAACTGACATGATGATCTAGAGCTGTGAATTAATTAGCCTTCCCTCCGAGTAAAGTGTGTAGATAGGATAACAAATCCCTCATGGCTGATTTTGTTGTTGTTGTTGTTGTTGTTGTTGTTGTTGTTGTCTATTAAAAATTATCTTTTTACCATTCAGTGCGGGTCAATTATTTGGCCAAGGAGTATTATCTGTGGACACTCTGCAAAACAGAGTAGCCTTCAAAGGAGCAAGGCTCTAAATATAATTTGTTTTTTAAAGCAGGAGAATGTGTCAATTCTTTGTCTTGAAGACTCACTCCCCAAAGATGTGGGGAATCTTAGTTCAGTCCTATAAACTCTTTGGAGGTTCACCAGCCAGATAGGCCCATTTGTTGTTGTTAGTTGCGAAGTCGTGTCCGACCCATCGTGACTCCATGGACAACGTTCCTCCAGGCCTTCCTGTCCTCTACCATCCCCCGGAGTCCATTTAAGTTCATGCCGACTGCTTCAGTGACTCCATCCGACCACCTCATTCTCTGTCGTCCCGTTCTTCTTTTGCCCTCAGTCGTTCCCAGCGTTAGGCTCTTCTCCAGTGAGTCCTTCTTTCTCATTAGGTGGCCAAAGTATTTGAGTTTCATCTTCAGGATCTGGCCTTCTAAAGCACAGTCAGGGTTGATCTCCTCTAGGACTGAGCGGTTTGATCGCCTTGCAGTCCAAGGGATTCGCAGGAATCTTCTCTAGCACCATAGTTCAAAGGCCAGATAGGCCCATGCACACCTGAAGAACAGCAAGTTTTGAGAGAGGACAATCAGAATGGCTGCTTTCCAAGTTTTGAGTTGCACTTCTGGCAAGGTTGAACATTTTGAATGGAGAATTGGGGTTCTTTTCTGTGGACAAAGTCCACAAGGTAGAGAGGGATAGTTTGCATTTTTCACCCACTCGTCTGCTTCTGTTGAGGAAGCCCTTCTCTTCTCTTTAAAAAAAAAACAAAAAAACACACACACACACATTTCATTCTAGAAGATGTTTTGAGGTTAAAAATTATTTGACATGGAGTATTGTCCAACCCTGTTGTGTCACGTTGCTGCAACCTTCCTGAAGAAGAGCCAAAAGTCCTATGTTTCGTAGGAAAAAGTTAGTACTAATCTGCATGACTCTTAAATTGTTTTGATAACCATCTGATATTTTCTTCAGATTTCTTCAGAAAGAGTGAGAAATTCTCAAATTTTAAGCTTTACCCTTAGTTGGCCCAAATGTTTGGTTTGGTTGCTAGTATAGGATGAAGAGTGGAAAGGGAGAAGGTCCAACTGCACAATATTGTTAAAGGATTTAGATCTTAAATAAGCAATTCAGGTGGATCCTATGAGAGGATCCTTAGGATCGAGGTGCTTATAAACAAATTTTCCCCCTTCCTGATGTCCGATCAACAAGCTGTTCCAGATCAGAAGCACACTCAGCCTGTGTTAATGGAATATTCCCAACCATTCTATAAAACAGAATGGCTGAGCCAAAACCATAGATTACATGGGTTGTGTGAATGTAGCTCTTTGGTTCTGACTTAGCGTCTCCTGTGAACAGGACAGTAGTGCTTCAGGCTGCTAATTTGTTAACTCTGGCGTAACCCAATCTTTCTATCCGTGGTGCGGCAGATGATTTACAATTCAGCATTGCAGGCTAATTCTGCCGACTGCCAGCAGTTCGATTCTCACCGGCTCATGGTTGACTCAGCCTTCCATCCTTCCGAGGTCGGTAAAATGAGGACCCAGCTTGGTTGGGGGCAAGATGCTGACTCTGTAAACCGCTTAGAGAGGGCTGTAAAGCAGTATATAATCTCATAGGGTTGAAAGATTTTGAGAGCTGATCCATGCTTTGTTCTCAAGTTCAGTCTAAGGAATAGGATTCCTTCTTTTGGGCATAGCTATGGCGCAGTGGGTGAAGTCAGCACAGGTTGTAACTTGCACAGCTCTCAAAAGTCATCACATGGGTGTAGATGGGACTTTTTGGATTACAGCTATTAAAACTGTAATACCATGCTGTCAACCAAAGGGTAAAAAAATATATTAAATAACTGACATGCCAAAAAAAAAAAAGAAAAAAAAGCTCACAGCAAAACTTTGTTCAAACTAGTATTTGCATCTTTTTATTTATTTTTGTGGCATACGGTAGAAATTTTTTAGGAAACAATTTTCCATAGACTTGATAAATTAAAAAAAAAAAAAAGGTTTGTTATAGGTTTTTTTTAAGTGTTCCTCTGAACTGTAAATAGATGATGTACATATTTTTTTTTTGTAAGGCTTCAAATGTTTAATCTTGAAAAAAAAATACCTGCAGAAACTCGAGCATATTGGTTGCTGTTCTGCTGCTTCCCTTCAGGCCTGCCTTTTTCCTTCCCTCTCTCTCTCTTTTTTTTTTTTGTATGGTGACATATCCTATGCAAATTGTCGAGCAAACAGCGATATTATTGTTGAAAGATATTGAAATGGTTTATATATAAAAAGACAAACAATTTTTGACAATAAAAAGTGCCTAAAAAAATTTGTGGTGTGGAGCTTTTTGTACCCAATGTGAGAAGATTACTCTGTGTTTGTGTTTGTGTGTCTATGTGTACGAATGTATGTTGTGTTTAAGGATTTTGAAAGAACTAGGTTCATCAGGTGAGAGTCATTCTTCTAAAGAACATACCTCTTATCCCAAAGCTGCTTTTCCAAAAAGCAATTGGACTTTCTTGGTTTTTTCCTTTTTTTTCTTTTTTCTTTTTTCTTTCCATCAAAGCAGCTTCTTCAGTGAAGTGAAATGAACAGCAGAAAGCTTCTTGGATGAGAAAATGATAGGATAGGATAGGATAGGATAGGATAGGATAGGATAGAATAGAATAGAATAGAATAGAATAGAATAGAATAGAATAGAATAGAATAGAATAGAATAGAATAGAATAGAATAGAATAGAATAGAATTCTTTATTGGCCAAGTGTGATGAGACACACAAGGAATTTGGTGCATACACTCTCAGCGTACATAAAAAGACAAGATACATTCTTCAAGAATCATAAGGTACAACACTTAATGATAGTCATTGGGTACAAATAAGCAATCAAATCATACTAGGAAACAATCAATATAAATCGTAAGGATACAAGCAACAAAGTTACAGTCATAAGTGGGAGGAGATGGATGATAGGAACGATAAGAAGATTAATAGTAATGCAGACTTAGTGAATAGTTTGACAGTGTTGAGGGAATTATTTGTTTAGCAGGGTGATGGTGTTGGGGAAAAAACTGTCCTTGTGTCTAGTTGTTCTGGGGTGCAGTGCTCTATAGCATCGTTTTGAGGGTAGGAGTTGAAACAATTGATGTCCAGGATGTGGGGGGGTCTGTAGATATTTTCATAGCCCTCTTTTTGACTCGGTATACAGTACACAGGTCCTCAATGGGAGGCACGTTGGTAGCCATTGTTTTTTCTGCAGTTCTAATTATCCTCTGAAGTCTGTGTCTGTATTGTTGGGTTGCAGAACCAAACCAGACAGTTATAGAGGTGCAGATACAGACTCAAAAAAGAAAAAGAAAAAGAAAAACCAAGAAAGACAAATTCCTTTTGGAAAAGCACCTTTGAGACAACCATGACTTGGATAATTGAGAATCTCCATAGACATTTAACTGGACTCTAAACAACAGTAATTTCTGAACTTATGGGGCACATGATTTAGTAGAGTCAAGTCTTCTTCAAATTTAATCAGATTCCAGACAAATTTAGAAGCACAACCCTGAGGTTTCTGCAGCAAGAGGATGGAAATGATCTCCTACTGCTAGCTTCCAGAACGTTTCTTCAACTTCCTGGTCCTAAACTAGAGCTCTGAGTTTCTGGTGGTTTCCCATGCAACGATTAACCTAGGTTCCAAAACAATGTGAAATTGAGCCATGCCATTTTGCTCGTTTAGTTGTGAAGACATCCTGTGTTGTGTGAAGGCAGTTCAGCAACACAACCTTTTCTTGGTTGCGTGTCCAAAACTGGGGGGCAAAAACTTCAGCTGTAGATTCTAAGTTTCTGAATCTCCTTGTCTCACGGTATTTATTTTGTTTGTTATTATTTTTACTCAAGGTGGCAAGCATATCAAACATTCCTTCTCCTATTTCCCCCACAACAACAACTCTGTGAGATGAGATGGATGGGATAGATTGACAGGCCCAAGATCACCCAGCCGGCTTTCATGCCTAAAGTGGGACTAGAATTCCCAATCTCCTCCTTTCGTAACCTGGTGCCTTAAACACTAGACCGATTCTAATAAAATACAAATAAGTATGATAGAGATTATAAATAATATAAATGAAGTCTTTTAGGGAGTCTTGGGATTTTAACTGTTTTGTTAACCAGCCCACCCAGCAATTGTTTTGATGTGAACCTTAGAAGGATAAATGGTTTTTCCACATTTGGGAATGCTATAATTGGCTTTGGATCTGTCATGTTTTTCTTGCATTCTTCCACAAACAGCAGAACATACCATATTTTTCAGAGTATAAGACATATCGGACTATAAGACACACCTATCTTTTTTGGTGAGGAAAACAAGAAAAAGAAATATGCCTCTCCCTCTCAGCAATTTTGCTTCGTTGCAAGCAAACAGCCTGCTTTACTTTCACTTTCGTTTTCAGCACAGCTTGATTAGCACAAGGGGAAAAAAATCTGCTCCCAGCAATTAACCTCCTTGCAGCAAGCAGCAGAGGCCCGCACAAAACAGCTGAGTGCAAAACAGCTGAGAGTCGGGAGGCCGATCCAATCAACTTGTGCTAATTAGGCTGTGCTGAAGCTGAAAGGAGCTGTTTTTTCTTGCTGCTTGCTGCAAGAAGGTAACTGCTGGGAAGCAGAGCCAAAGGGTGGGGGCCAGTGGGTCGGTGGGGCTACATTCAGTGTGTAAGACACACCTAAATTTTTGCCCCCCTTTTGGGGGAAAAAGATGCATCTTATACTCCGAAAAATACGGTATTTTGGATATCTTCAGTAAAAAGTGGCCATTTTTAGTAAGGACATACTGCGGCTTCCTTGAAAATAAGACAAAGTCTTATATTAATTTTTGCTCCAAAACATGCATTAGGGCTTCTGGTTAGGTTTTATTTTGGGGAAAATATGGAACTAAATGCATCCATCTGGTTGATGATCTTAACTGGGGCTTATTTTTGGAGTA